GAATACATATTTTTTAATGTATTTAGTTAAAATATGATTATTCATTTTTCATATGGTAAATGTGTAAAATGAAAAATAAAAATGTATTGACATAAAATAAATTAATTCGTATGTATTCAAGATATTTAATAGTATTATTAAATCTAAAAATATTCAATATTAGGCTCAATTCGAAGTTATTGACAAGACGATTATAATGATATAATTTGTATTTTTTAAATGCATTTTAGTTCATATACGATTATTTATATTAATACGATAAGAGTGTAAATGAAAAATGAAAAAGTAAGGGATATAAGGTAAATCAAATCACTAATTATAAGGGTATAGAATGTAATTTTGAAATTGAAAATGATTTGATGAAAGATCGTGGGAGTTGTAAGCTTTAAAGACTTATACAATATTCTTAATTAATTGTACCTCTTAAAACTTCAAAAATAAATGAAACTCCTGCTTTTTGATATAGTACAAATATACGATTATTTATGTTAATATGATAATGGTTGTAAAATAAAAAATGAAAAAGTAAGAGATATAAAGTAAATCAAATCAGTAGTTATAATTAACGGTATAAAATGTAATTTTGAATTTTAAATGATTTGGTGATAGATCGTGGAAGGTTGTAAGCTTTAAGAGCTGTACAATATCCTTAATTCACCAGGTCCAACGACAATCACCAGTTTAACTTAGGGTGGGGAGGTGATTTAGTAGCAGTGAATGGCAAAGTAGCTTTATTACCCATTCAATTTATAAGGACCTTTACTCCAAAGAGTATTACATTCTTGATATTCATCAAAAAGAATATATGGTTTTATTGAATAAAAGACTTGATTAACGAAAAAGCGACCAAAAATGATATTTGGTAAACTAGAAAGACTAAAATATCCCTAATTTAAATGAATTTTTTTAATAGATTTAGTCTTAGAGACGAAAACAACAATAAATTACAAACCATATAAATGAAAAACGAAATTTCAAAACAACAGGGACGAAAATCGTAGTCTACTCGAATATATGATAAATTAATTCGTATGTATTTGTGATATTTAATAGTATGATTAGATACACAAATATTCAATATTAGACTCATTTGAAAGATAGTGATGAGAGGATTGTAATGGTATAATTTGTAAAAAAGAAAACGTATTTTTTAAATGTATTTTAGCATATACGATTATTTACGTTAATATGGTAAGGGTGTAAAATAAAAAAATAAGGGATATAAAATAAATTAAGTAACTAATTATAAGGGTACAAAGTATAATTTAAAATGATTTGATTTTGAATATGG